GATTTTCGTCCTTTCTGTGAAGAGAAAAAAGAACTCTGCTATCTTGTGGCATGTCAGCTCATTTGTAATCAAGGGTTATGCATCTTAATGATGGTGTCTTCAGATCATATGCCAAGGATAACGGTGCTGCTAGGGAATCCTCATTGTTTGTGCTTTGGGAAATTGGAATCAGCCACCTGATGCTGGCTCATGAACTGTGACACTGCTGATGGTTTACAGTCCAGCCACACCTCAGGTCGCCATGGCAACGTATAACTCGGCAACCAAGTAGAATGCAAAACTTCTGCCAGTGTCCTAAGGCCTTTCTAAGACAGCACGGTTTTGCCATACCTTGCCCCCTCTCGTTTTCCCTTCTGCAGGGACAAGGGAGGGTCAGAGATCCGGGGGGCAGGGGCCGAGGCATTGGGGGCCGAGGTCCACAGAGTGGGTGTTGGGGAGCAGACTGACCCTTGTTGTACTCAGCTCCTTACAGAGGAGCAGGGACTTCGGGGCAGCAGCCAGAGGCATCACCCACCAGTGATGACGCAATGTACCTGGAATATTGGCCAACCATTCCTGGACGGTGCTCTGTTCTTGCTCCCCCTGAGATGACACTTTCCCCTTGCTACAATCAGAATGGAAAGAGTATTGGAATCACTTCCTGTCCCCCTTGGCTCCATCCCCTTCTCTTCCCTGAGGAATGTGGAGGGAAGCAGGACCCTCCCATCTAAGCACCATGGCTCCCTTCTTGCAGGTGGACCCCACTGTTGGAGTGGGAAAGGGGGTGGTGACTACATTTCGCACCCATGGCAAAGGAGATGTGTCAGTTTCCTAGGCCTGCCTTAACAAAGTACAACAGCGGGTGGCTTTGAACAATAGAAATGTATTGTCTCCAGTTCTGGAGGCTAGAAGTTCAAATTCAGGGTGTCAGCAGGGCCATGCTGTCTCTGAAGGCTCTAGGGGAGGACCCTTGCTTGCCTCTTCCAGCTCCTGGTGGCTCCAACCTTCTTGGCTTGTGGGTACATCACTCTAACTCTGCCTCCATCACCAGCTGGTTTCTCCCCTGCATGTCTGGTCTCTTAGGGCAGCAGTCAGAGAGAGATGAGGGCCACCCTCACGACTTCATTTGAAATTAACTCATTCCATCTGCAGTGACTGTTTCCAAACACGGTCGCATCAATGGCTTATGGGGGTGAGGGCTTGAGCTTATCTTTGTGGGAGACACTGTCATAAAAGGTCAGGATTGGGCTAGTTTCAGTCTGAGAGGTGGGCACTCACCTTGCCTGAGGTGTTTATCTTAAACCTAAAACCAAAATGAAGCCCATTAAGAGTTGATCCTGACTCATGGCAACCCCATGTGTTATAGTGTAGAACTGCCCCATCGGGTTTTCCTAGCTGTAATCTTTATGGGAGCTCCGGTGGCATAGTGCCTAAGGCATCTGACTACTACCCAGAAGGCTGGCGGTTCAAACCCACCATCCACTCCTCAGAAGGAAGACTGGGCCATCTACTTCCATAGAGGTACTGCCTTGAAAACCCAAGGAGGGGTCCCTATGAGTTGGGTCCGACTCGATGGCAATGAGTTTGGTTTTTGGTATAATGAAGATACCGCCTCAGAACCCCAAGGAGGGCTCGCTGTGGGTCGGGGCCGATTCGACAGAAGTGGGTTTGGTTGTTTTGGAATCTGTGGAAGAGCACCAGGCCTTTGTTCCATGGCACTGCTGGAGGGGTTCGATTCAACAACCTTTTGGTTGGTAGCTGATGGCAAACCACCCATGCCACTCAGGGGAGGGTGAAAGAAAGGAAGGAGGTGGCTGCTCCCTGGGGCTGTGGACCCATTTGGTGATCTTGTGTTTGGGGAACTGACCCTGGAAGCATCAGTAGTGCCAGCTGTTTCCTGTGATATCTTCAATACTTAGGTTGCCGTTAGGCAGGCCCTGGTGTGAGCCTGCACGTACCTGGTGCCTCTTGTAGTCTCCCAATGACCTGGTGGCCCTGGCACCCCCACACTCACCCCGGGGTGCATGGCCCAGCGAGCCGAGCAGGGACTGGGTTCCAGCTGCACCAGCTGTGCAGCCTCCTGCAGGGGTCCTGCCCCAGAGACCTCGTGGAGTTCTTTTCCACCCAAACGGTCTTCTTTCATCATTGTTTTCTTATGCCCCTTTCACGCTCCGTATTATCAAGGCTTTGCAATCAGAGACACGAAACACTACCTTAGAATTTTTTTTATTTAAAAATTAATAAAGAACTTAGTGACAAATATAGTCATTTCATTTCTATATGTAATGCCATGTATACATGTACATATGAAGAACAGTGCACTTCTCACCTTGGTTTTGCGTCAAAGTCTTCCCTGCAGTCTTTCTAAGACAGTTATCACCGGCCAGCGACACAATGCCATTTTGGCATGGGGTGCTTTTGCCGATGGTGTTTTTTCTTCTGAACAGTTTTATTTTTAAAGAGGAAGTAGTATATTTTTAGTTTCCTTTTTGACTCTAAAAATTGGATTTTTTTTTTTTTTTTTTTTGGTATGGGCTGCTTTGAAGCAGGGACATTGCTTTGTTTTCTGTTGTTGTGGTGTCACCTTGTTTGGCTGGACCGACAGTCCTCACTGGAAAGCAGCTGACACCCTATTTCAATTCACTGAGCTCATTGCGATTCTTAAAACATAGGGAGGGGGAGCTCGTTGCAAACATGTTCATAACTTTAGTTAAAAACAGTATAAAATCTACGAAACATTGTTTTTAATGCTTTGTCACATGGATGCAGTCGCATGTCCTTCTCGGTTCAGGATCTGCATTTCATCCTTACTCCTTTGCGGCAACAGTACCTCACCGTCCTGGTGAATGATAGTCAAGGCTTTGGGCCTTCTGGGCTCTACCACCAGGAATGGCTTCTTGCTGAAATGTCCACTTACACAGGTGCGGAGCGAGGGGATGAGTGCCTTGGGGGAATCTCTAAATTGCACACGTCCCCCACCCCCCAGTTCGAGCGCCCAGGGATGATCTCGAAGTGGCACCTCTCGCCCACTTGGAGCACCCAGGGGCAGTGTTTAAATTTTGCACCCCCCCAACTTCCAGATGTTGATAGCAGTAAAACAGCAGCAAAAATGCCTTCCCCCTCGTCTGGCTGCCTCATCAGGAATCTTTCATATCTGCAGTGTCTGGGCATGTCCTTTGGCACTGAGGACTTGTGTCCCGGGACCAAGTGTCCCCTTCTCCCCTCCTACCCCCTGCTTCGCCTGTGTGTTCCAGGCTTGAGGAAGGACTTCGGGCCTGACCGGGTTAATGGAGACTACTCATTGGCGTCCAGGGCCGGTGTCATATATGCCACCCCTTAGATACACTTCTGCACCTTCAGTTTGAGGAACCCCCCCCCCCCCCAGGAAGGTCTACATGACTTGCTTCTCTGATTTTTCAAGTTCAGATCTGATTGCTGATCCCTAGGTTCCTGTAGACCCCAACCACTTAGAAATGACACAGACTAGCTGTTGAGTGAAAACCTATGGCAAGAACTAGCTCAAATTGGAGGAACACATGGGAGACTCTGACCAAGGTGAGCCACTGGTTTTTGGCATCTAATTGATGAGTGGACATGTCTGCACGGGCTTAGACACAGAACTGGTGGGCAGAAACTTGAAGACTAGGTGTCCTTGTATGTTCACAAACTATTCAAAATTGAAATTGTACAAAAAAAGGCAACCTAAGATTCCTACTTCCTATTATGAAAAGCCAAAAAGTGATAGACAAAAGTCATCAGTAGACCAGGGGCTTTGGATTTCTATAAAAAGAGACTTGCCAAGGTGCAAAGGAATGAGTGAAAAAATACAGGAACTAAGGTTTACACTGCAGTGTGGACTCCAGAGAATTCTACGTGTCACTGTTTATTTAAAAAATACCTAAAAACATTTGATTCACAGCTTTCCCCTAAGAATGTCATTGAGTACAACTTATGAGAGTAGACTAACTGTAGGCGACATTGAGTTTGTTTGTTGGTAGCAGCTAAACTAAAGACATTGATTCTCATTGAGATGGTCGGGTCTTCAGGTTGTTACAACGCCGAATGAATTGCAGAAAAGGTCTGGCTGAGCTTACAGTGGTTTCACCATGTCTCCGAAGATGCTTTCCATGGTGGTGCACAACACTTGTGATGGATTGATAATGGTGCTATCTGTTGTATATCTCTATGTGTGTTTTCAAATTCTTGCCAGAGTCTATCATTTGGCCTTTGGGTACCAAAAGATGAAAAATGAAATCTAAGAATGCGTCGTGCCCTATAGCTCTGACCCCGTCCTCTCCCAGTGATTAAAGGCATGTCCTGACGGTGGGGGACTGCTGGCTGCTGGCCGCTTGGAAGATGCACAGTAAACATGTCGTTGGTCTGGAGATGAAGAGGGTGCTCAATGGAGGAGTCACGCTGACACGAGACGTGATCACTTGGCTTAGCGCTACAGCACATGAAGGCAAATATACATATTGTCACATTTGAGAGATTATTCATGGTCTCCGACCACTTGAAAAAATTGTGCTTTCTCCAGAATTTGATGTGCTGAAAACTGCACTCACCCCCCCACCCTTGCTTGTCTGCAAAAGTAAACGTCAAAATGAAGTCCTGGGCAAACATAAGGCTTGCTTTTTCTTCTCATTTTTCTTTTAAAAAAATAAAGGCTTGAAAGTAACTATGAGTTTCAGCTGTGTGCAGAGTGACAGCCTGTCCTTCTGCGTGTGGATAACAGGATACTTGCAGGTGTAGGGCTGGAGGGGAGGGGGTGGTGGTCATAGAGATTTAACTCGTTGTCTTTGACTATGTAAGTTCCATTTCCGATTTGACATCCCACGTCAGTGAACTGCAAGGTGGGGGCGTGGGATTCTGTTAGCTACGAAGACCTTTTTGGCTCGCAGGGTGAGAACGTGGTGTTGCTCAAGTCACCACCACAGTCTCAATCCTATCCATTGTGGAAAAGGATTTCCTTAACTCCAGTGGTTTTCAAGACGGCTTTTGGACTCCAGACACGCTGAGATTCAAAGGAACCAGAGTTTCCATCTTCCATGCTTTTTGGATTCAGGTTTGGATTTTTGCTTGGGAGTTGAGGAACAGATCTCCTGAGAGTAAGGCGAAGGTGCGACCTGAGTTTCCTCGATAGAGTGGAGCTTCCTCAGAACTGGCTGGAGTTTGTCTTCCTGCTGCTTAAAATCTAGCTCCACACTGGAAAGAAAAGAGAGTGAGAATTCAGTGTTTGAGCCTTCATATGGAAAGATCCCACTTGCTGACAACAAACTATGAGTGAAATCCTCCTAGGCTAATTGTAGGGGACATTGAGTTTGTTCGTGGTCATTCCTATTAGGTTGATAGCATGATTTTCTGGTTTAATACTGAGCTATACTGTGGTTTAGCTCTATTTCAAAAATGCTCTTCTTCTTTGAAAAATGGCTTAGTTGCTTTCAACATTAGCCTCTGAAGGTTCTCATTGTACACAGTCACGTGAAGTATATAATATACTTGTCAAAAAGCAAGAAGTGAAATATGTGTAATCCTACTGTTTGTCCGTAGACCTCACACACGCACTTTGAGAAATAAAATAGAGAACAAAAAGTGTGTGCATGTCTGGGGGCGCCTTGTTCTCATGTGTATGCCACCTGGAGACCGGTAGGTATGTGGGAAGTTCTGTTCTTGTGTAAGTTTCACAAGATCATGGGCATCTGTTTCACCTGAAACCACTGTGAAATGGAATGACCTTGGCTAACATGCTCCTTGTGAAACTGTCACAGTCCGGAATGCTGGTAGGAACCTCACTATCCTGCCTATGGAAGCTGAGCATTTACCAAGTCAACATTGTCAATATTATTCCATTGTCACAGTCTGGAATGCTGGTAGGAACCTCACTTTCCTGCCTGTGGAAGCAGGGCATTTATCAAGTCAACATTGTTAATATTATTCCATTGTCGCAGTCTGGAATGCTGGTAGGAACCTCACTTTCCTGCTTGTGGAAGCAGAGCCTTTGCCAAGTCAACATTGTTGATATTATTCTGTTGTTACCAACGTCAGTTACTTTCAAGTGAAAACAACACAAACTCTTACTGTCATCACTGAAGGCATCGTGTGCAAACATGGAACCATGTGGAAGAACACTAGCCAGTTAGTGGTAGTGGCTGGGATGCAGTGATGGAATTGAAGGTGATTTAAAAAATAGATGCAGTTTCTTTGAAAGTGAAGTATGTCATTAACTTCCTTTGAGTCCTCCCTTCACTTCCTGGCTTTGGAAAGGACCAATTCTGGTCTCATGAACTGGCACAGACCCCTAAACGGTCCCCTTGGCCCCTAGGTAGGACCTCTGCCCCACTGGGCCTTTTTCTGAGATGATTCGGGGTAGGTGGGCGGTCTCCTCCTTGCTGCCCCCGCTGCTGCTGCTGCTGCGATGGTCTGGGCCTGTGGCCGGGCATCAGCCAGACCTCTGGGAAATTCTCTGAGCTCTGTTGAGTTGGTCTGGTTGAGATGCCAGACTAACTGCCAGTCGATTTCAGTAAGGTCTCAGTGATGATCGTAACACATGCGCTCATAACATTTTATAACCAGTGGGGCCGTGAGCCATTTATAAACATGAAGTCCTATTGATTTAGAGAACCATTAATCCTCTCCAAATCTTGACATTTTAGAAAGACAAAACAGCCAAGCAGTATTATCTGGAATTTTCAAAACAAGTTCAAGACCCATCTAATGGGCCATTTTATGTTTTAAATCCACTGTTCCATTTTTCTTAATGTCAAAGGCTATAATATTACTGAAGAATTAAAAACAAATTGTCAGGGAAGTTTATGGCTAGTTACCCTTTTCTACCAACACTGAGAGTTATTTATTCTCCAAGTTCTGTGCAGTTGATGGGAAGTAGACTAAGACCTCATAAACACACGGTTGCTGTCCAGAATATGTGGTCATTGAGGCCTGGTTCCTCTGAAGGAAAGTTCTGAAAACCACAAATCTAAGGATATGTTGCATTTATGGGACACAAGGGTCATGTTGGTTTCCATCCTACCTTTTCCATTTGACAGAAGGAGTGACAGTTGAGTGGAAGGTAAGTCCCTTACCTGCTTAGAGGTTCCATTTCCTTTATTAAGTCAAGGAGGTAAAGGTCTCCCTTTACCTCCTTGACTTAATAAAGGCATGTGTGCCTGGCCCCTCACTCAGTTGTGGTAAGGGCAGTGAAAGATTTCTAGACTAGAAGATGTTACCCAAATACTGCTTTACCCTTTATTTATTATTATCTGTTGGTTCCTCAACGCTACGGAGCCCCGCTCTCCTCTGCACCCATGGGGTCTCCTTGTGTTGGAATCAACTGGACATCAGCTAACAACAGTGAAGAATTCTCCAACATGGGCCTTATACAAGGGCAGCAGGACTCTTTCAGCTGAGTGTGTGTGATGTTGTTACATGCACTATGCCAGTGTAGGTACAGAAGAGCCATCTTACCAAGGTACTTGGTTAATATTGCATACTGGCTTCCCAGATCAAACCCATTCCAACAGGCCCAGAGAGGTTCTAAGTTATTCAAACTGAGACAGGGTGCTAGCATTTCTTAGGTTAACAGTACAATCCTGGGTACCTATAATTATTGAATTCCCATTAAGCAACGACATTGAGAATCCTGTTATTAAGTAATTTATCACACCGTGGAATCGTGTAATCATGGAGTAATCTAATCTGAGTTCTTGTTAACAAAATGACTTGACTTTGTCAAGTTGAATCCTCTCTACCCTCCGGGTAGCTGCACCCAGGTGCCTGAGGGGAGAGCACGAGTGTGTGGGGACTGCCTGCTGGGGGATGCCTGGGGGGTGCTGTTCCCTCCCCATCTGAGTTCAGTGCCATCCCCCCTCCCCCAGATGCTGGGTGATGTCTGGGTACCAGCTCAGTAAACTGGGGAGGGATGGAATTTGCTACTGAGTAGGAATAATGTGGATCTGCATGCTGCTTTCCACTGGGAGAACTCTCTCATCACAGAAGGCACACATCAAATCACAGGTTTCAGGCTGAAGTGGACAGCTGGCCCGAGAGGACAGTATCAGAAGGTTAATAGCCTGGCTGACAGAGAGGAAAGGTCCCTCGGTCTAAAGAGCCAGAGAGTAGCACCTGCTCTCCTAGTTAGAGGTGAGGCCTTGGCCAGATGCCACTGGTTCTTTGGGGGACCATTTCTGAGGACACACGTCCCTCCCTGGTCGAGACAGAAGTTGTCTAGACAGGGCCTGGGGGGCTGCCTGGTGGAGTGGAGGCAGCTCCCATGTTGGGCTTCAGTGACCTCTGAATGACATTGACAGGGACCTGTGCCCTGCATGTTGTCCTGTGGACAGTGGTGACTAGTTCCATGCCTCATAGCTGGGTCTGTCAACTGCCACCTTCATGTTTGTTCATTCTCCCCAACTCTGGGCATGGGTGGTGACTTCAGTCCTGCTGTCCCCCTGGTGAACTTCACCTCCTTCTTCTCTGGCCATCTACCGGAAGTCCCTCATCACTGGTCTTTGTCACTGTCTTCTCTGCACGAATCACCAATAATTCTTTTGTGTCCCATTGTCTTCGTCTCTGTCTTCTAGAGCGTTAGTGCCATGGCAGAGAAGAGCACTGTCCCATGTGTCCTTCTTTTCCCTCCATCTAACGCAGGGCCTGAATCACGGCCCTCAGTAACCGGGCGCCACGGAGGTGATACGGACTTACGGCGACTCCGTGTGGATTGGAGTATAGCCGGGTCCCCTAGGGTGACACCGACTTACGGCAACCCCGTGTGGATCGGAGTAGAGCCATGTCCCCTATAGGACTTGAACTTTGAACCTTTCCATTTGTAGCTGAGAGCTGAGCTGACTGTACCACTCAGGGGCTCGTGAATCATGGTGGTCCCTCCGTGATGTTTACTGCATCAGGGGATGAGAGCAGGGCCTGGGAGGACAGAGTCTACCTCAGCTTTGGTTCCAGTGGCCCTGCAAATCATATTGTTGTTGTTCCTCCTTGTTCTCCAACAAGGAGCCCCCTTGCTCTGGAGGTAACATCCTGGGGGCCATTCCAGCTGGGTCTGTGGCCTGGCTCCAGTCTGTCAGAACTTACTTGAAGATTTTGGAAATTTTATCCAAAACAGACACACCTCAGAACCTTTCCTAGACTGAACTTAGCTCAGGCACCCCTACCCCAACCTCCTCCTGCTTTGTGGAAGTCTGCAGTGAGTGGCAGTAGGATGGGCAGGCCAGCAGGGGGCCCTAGTGAGTGGCCCACAGCTCCTGTTGCTCTGCTGGCTGGATCTGGAGTATTTCTGGCCTGTTTTCACTTTTCCTGCAGATGTGTGTGGGCCCTGCTTTCCTTCCTCTCATGCTGCTTTAGGGCAGTGTGCAACCCCACACCCCACACCAACAGTGCCTAGTTCCAGTCGCAACCCCACCTGTGTGCAGTTTAAGCCCCACCACCACCACACACACACTGTGAGCAGTTCCAGTCCATGGACTAAGCTGCAAAGGAGATGTCAGTTTGTCCTGCACGTCCTACAGTCAGATGGTGGCATTCATCCTCCCCTTCTGAGCGCCAACCCTCATGGTCTTCTCTTAGGAGGAGACTAGGGTCCTTACAGACCCCCTGCAGACTCAGGGCCCAGCCTGTTGGTGTCTGGCCCCCTCTGGCCGGGGGTTAGGTATTGGTGACGTATTGTCAAGGGTGTCTGCCCTGCCCCATGCTATGTGCTTATTCCCCAGGAGGATAAACAGCCTGGAGAAAGCCCTGAGTCTGGAGTTTCCGGGGATCAGTCTGCATGTGTTGGACCCATCACCTGGACTAGGTGTTTCCTCCAGTAACCTGCAGACCAGGCTGGTGGGACGAGAAAGCCCCAGGATTGCATGGGGAGGGGCGGGGGTGGCTTTTAGGCATGCATGTAAAACCCTGGGCATTGCCATCATGACCTTCATGTCACTTCCTCTGGCCCGCAGACAACGCACCATCCAGTCAACTTCTGTGCTGAGGAATCTCAGTGAACTTGAGGGTTTTGTCACCTGTGCCATTGCGGTCATCTGCCACCAGCACGTGATTGATTCTTTGCAATAAATGATTAAAGCAACTGGGGCCATTTCATTTCTTGAGTTAGTCTTTTCCTCTTGAACATGAAAAGTTCATCTCTTCCATCATGATTGTGCTTGGCATTGACAAAGTAGCAGAAATATCTGCCTGGCTCCCAGGCTGCCATG